TCGGCCGAGACCCGGAAGAGATCCCGCCCGCCGAAGAAGACCGTGGCCGTGTCTGCGACCCCCACGAAGACCCCAACGAAGACTCCGGACCCTAAAAAGAAAAAGGAAGACAAGCCACACCGGCTGGACAGTGCCGACACGGTGATGTCAGGCATGGATTGTGAAAAGCAGATCACAAGATATATATATATATGTATATATATATATATGCATATATATATATGTATGTTTGTGTGATATATATATATATATAGATATTGTACACACACCTATGTCTATTATATATATATATATATATATGCAAAAATCTACATATCATAATATACACATAGACATTATCATGCCTATGGCTTGAACAGAAGATACAATAGTTAAATTTCCTATCATGCACAGTAACTACATTAATTAGGGTTTATGATTATAATATGTATATCAGTACCTATATATGATGGACATATATTGTATGTATGTATACATATAAATCCAAACAGAAATACATTTGTACGTATCATTGCATATATTATATATATGTATATATGAATCTCTTTGAGATGCAGACTTCCGGCATGTGGTGCATTGTAGCTTCTTCTGTCAATACATAGCTGTTTTCAGTCTCGGTCCAGGCGACAAGTCCGCTGATCTGAACAAGGAGCTGGAAAAAGTCATGTTGGAGGAACTTCCGATGGGAGTGCAAACCTGGCTAGATGATACTTAAAAGCATGCACAGAAATAGCCAATGGATGCATAAGACCCTGCAGGGAGGCGAGGAGGATCGACAGCCGGAGACCCTGCCCTACCCCATGGAACTGGACGTGCCGGACACACTGCCGAGCACACAGGTGGAGGACTGCATCCACGTGTTCCCCATTGGCCTGGACCTGGAGCTCATATATATTTATATGTGTATACCTTATATATATATATAGATATAGATATAGATATATAGATAATGCATATATATGTATAGATATCCAACAATAATATACTGCTCAAACCACAAACACATAAAGACATGTGTGATAGTTACCCAGCCAGTGTAAACATGTTCCATGTCCATGGCCACAAACCCAATTTGCAGGAGCCGGAACCTGACAAGGCAGCAGCTGGCGGCGGAGCCACAGCAGTCCGAAACCCAGGTTGTGTCAGTCTGTGTGTGATCCACATATATATATATATGTATATGTGTATCTTTGTGTGTATAAAGAGATATATATGTCTAGCTACATATGTCTATAGGTTCATATATATATATATATATAAATACATGTGTTTGTATATATATATATGTTTATATGCAAACGTACACCTCAAAAATCTATTTGCTTTATAAATTATAAATAAAGTACAATACTTCACACCAAAACTGCAGGTGACGATCCCGGTGCCTGCGATCATGGACGTAGATGCCTCGCTGCAGCGGGTTGCAAGCATGGCCGAAGCCAGCAAAGAGGCTGCAAAGGCACATGAGAGAGATTATATCAAAGATACAAATATACATAGATATGAACTTTCTTTCTTATATATGTATATATTTATATGCCGATATTCATCTATATATATATAACATATCTATACATATATCTATATATATAATACACCTAGATGTATAATTCTGAAAATATACATGGACTAACAATTGTAGTACCGTGACACATGTTACATATACTTGTTTCCTTCTAGAGTGAATATGACAAGACACCTGGTCTTATTCATGAGATAGGTCGTTGCCCTCGGTTAGATACACGACAACATGTAATATATATATATATATATACATATATGTATACATATATACTATAAATAGGATTCAACGGACCGAGAACACGTGCAGGCAACGGTGCCGGATTCCCTCCGCAGGGGCAAGGCGGGTGTCAAGTACTGTATATACATATCGTGTGTATGTGTCTGTATATCTATATATAAAGTTATATTCCTCGTTTGTATATTAAGCTTATATATATACATATATATATATATATATATATATATGCAGGCAACGGATTTCCGTGAGCCCACGTCTCCGAAGACTGGGGCCACTGCTGCTGAGGCACACGGCCGTATATATGGATGATTAATATAGTGGGTTTAGGGTTTAGGGTTTGGGGTTCAACATGTCTCGCATCTCTGGCCGACCAGGTCGACAACAGCGACCCGATCCCGGAGGACTACCTGGACGGCCTGATCAAGGAGCTCGACGAACAGATGGAGCAGGAGAAGAAGGATAATATGGACAAGGCCGAGAAGGAGAAGCAGGCGGGGCAGGACTGCAAGAAGGAGGTCGACGAGTTGACCCAGAAGTTTGCAGAGATGCTCCCCCCGAGCCAGGCAGAGGGACAGCGTATCCATGATTTACGATAAGTGTAAGCATGTTCTCCATATATATATGTATATATATATATATGCTATATATGCTGTATATACATATATGTACTATATATATACACACATGTACACATAGATCGTCTTATAGACTTATTTCCATTCGTGTCTGATGTGCATG